ATGACATGCAGAAACATGAAAACGTTCCTGGGTAATTATCTGCCAACACCATGGAGCGAAAACCAAATGTCAACATGTGACCTGTTCATAGGTTTCAATATAAAAGAATCTAGCTCAGGGGAGGCTGGGTAAATGTTCAAGAAATGGAAATGTAGGTGCGAGAAGATGGGTTGGGAAGGAGATGAGGGGAAGGCAGGACCATTTTCATTTCTACAAAAGGACAATGTTACTAATTTCTCTTTTCCAACATGAATTGGGCAAGTGTTATGTAATATTTTGGGTAAGCAGGGTGTTTGGCACCCAGGGGGACATAGAAATGGGGTGGCTAAATTGTTGGAGTGCCGGTCTCAACCCAGATATTGTCAAAGCACAGATGTAGAAGATGATGAACAAAAATGTAAAGCTTAGTAAATTATTATAAGGCACACACACCCTTGTAAACACCTATGACTTCACACTCATGCATGTAATGTATGCTATATTTTTATTTTAAATAGTATATTTGGTGGAAGAATGGTGATAGGTTTGGGATGGAGAAAGAGTGTATCACAGTAGACTTTTTATTCTTTTGTTTCCATTTAGTATATTCAAGTTTTATTTTAAATCTCTTAGTAAAATTTGTTAGTTTTATCTTACATTTGTTGTTAAGGGGATATGGGTACAACACCGATATTTTGTGCATTTGTTGGTAAGGTTATTCCTAGGCATTTAGGAAACTGCTTTAATACCACTGTGAATGGCATTATTTTTCCATTACAGTTTTTACCTGGCTATTGCTGATATATTGGGAAACATTTAAGTATATTTATCTTGTATCCATCCACTTTCCTGAATTATTTTACAACTGCCCCCTCCTTCCTAGACTGTGAGACAGAGGGGAGCCTTCTGTGTAGGGGAGTGGAGGACTTGTCTGCCTTGTGTAGGGCAACAGATGGTTCCTCTCTAAACTGGTGGTAGTTCCACACAGGGTGCTAATCCCATATGTAGTGGTAACCCCAATATGGGGCATGGAAGAGGAGAAACTCAAAAATTTTGAGAAGTAGAAGATAAAGGTGTCAAGGTGAGCCTCTTTGACCTTTCTAATATCATTAGAAAAGGACAAGGGAGGGTCTTCCACTTCTCTAGGAGAGAGCAGAGGGCTGTTGGCAATGGTGATGGTTTAGGGCACTGTGCGCTGGCAAATTTGTCAGGTAGAGGCCCAGAGGCACTGTGGAGGTAGCTTCTGATGCCACTGCAGTTGTGACTGCGCCCTACAAAGGCAGGCGATGGTCTTGGCTTTGTGAAGTTTTTAATGTTAGTGATGAGTTAGGCCCTTCAGTATCAAGATGTGCTGCAAAGAGCAGGAGCCAGAGCTGAATGAACGTTGCCCAGGTTGGTGGAAAGAGAGAATCGTCTGACTATGAGGGATCATAGTTGCTTTGGAGTGTTTCTGGGAAAGGCTCTCCTTGGGCCTGGATTTCTGTTGGGGGTCACAGGAGAACAGTGGAAAGTGGAAAACATGGATTTTAGAATTAGCCAGACCTGAATTCAAATCTTGATTCTGCCACTCAGTAGTTATGTGTCCTTTTTTAAATTCTCACCTGAGGATATGTTTATTGATTTTAGAGAGAGGGGGAGAGGAGAGAGAGAGGTAAGGAGATAGAGAGAGAGAGAGAGAGAGAGAGAGACATTGATGTGAGAGAGCAACACTGATGGATTGCCTCCCATATGCACCATGACCAGGGATCAAACCTGCAACCTTATGGTGTACACAATGATGCTCCAACAAGCTGAGCCACCTGGCCAGGGTGGCTTTGTGTCTTGATTTTCATTCCCTGCCCTGCCCCCATGCAGACCTTAAGACAAGGATGGGGTACAAGTAGCTTATTTGGAAAGCGCAGGGATGGAGTGGGAAAGGGAGAGGGAAAGGGTGAGAAGCCCTCAGACGATGAGTGCCACACTGCTGTGGGCAGCTGGAGGCCAGCACTCTGGGAATCCTCTGACAGTCTGGAACACACTTCACTGTCCCAAGAGACTCGGAAGTGAGCCTATTTATTTGCTAACTCCTGGCCCTCAGTTGGAAGTCACTGTTTTGGCATTTGCTCTCCAGCACTTCTTGTGAGCTAACGTTCTCTTGTGGCCGGGGAATGCTCTCCAGACAGATCGATGCCTCTGGAATGTGTGGGAACTATTGGTGGGTGAACTCCAGGGTGGGCTAAGGGGATATGGGTGTGACACTGATATTTTGGGCTCTAATTATATGACCTGATCTGCTGTTATATCTCTGAAATGCAGATCATTGTACTTAACTGCACTAGGTTATTAGAAAGATTAGTGCATTAGAGTTCATAAAGTTCTTCTCATAGTTCTTGAAATATAGCTAATGCTCAATAAATGATCATTTTGGCCTGAGTGGTGTGGCTCAGTTGGTTGAGTGTCATCCTACAAAGCAAAAGGTTGCCAGTTCTATTCCCAGTCAGGGCATATGTTGGATTGTGGCCAGTCCCTGGTTGGGGTGTGTGTGAGAGGTAACCAATCCATGTTTCTCTCACGTGTCAATGTTTCTTTATGCTCTGATTGCCTTACTGAAAATGTGGGTTAGCTCTGGCTGGTGTGGCTCAGTGGGTTGAGTGCTGGCCTGTGAACCAAAAGGTCACTGGTTCAATTCCAAGTTAGGGCACATGCCTGGGTTGTGGGCCAGGTCCCCAGTGTGGGGCACTGACTTAAGACTCATTTCTATCATTATAATTTGTATTAGAGAAGACAATTGACTGGAGTCAGAGGGGCAATCTGTGGCCTTAGGAATCGAGATTTTCCTTGAGTGACGCTACCCAATTATATGAGGACAGAATCTCTTCCTCACAAGCATCACAAAACCAACTGGCTCAGTAAGACATAATTAAATTGTTTGCTCAGCAATTAAGCTTTTGCCAACGGCTTGTGTATTTGGTTGCCTGGTAGGGAAAATAAAAGTTTTGCAGAAGAGTTCTTCTGACTGTAGCTATAAAGAATATTTACCAGTTCATGCTGAGTTTTAGAGCATAGCCAGGTTGAAACACATGCCCAAACAATTGTGTTTTTCACCTTTGCACTACAGTAAAATTGTAGATATCACCATCCCATGGGTGTGCGCTCGTTTACTAGGAAATGGAAGGTGGTGAGGAAGGTAACAGCTACCTGCTGACATTAGGGGATGGGATGAGTGGGCCAGGAAGGTATATGGAAAATAATAAGTGACCTTGGTGAACAGGATTCATCACCAATTAAAGAATTGAGTTTTATTTTTAATTTTGTTTTCTTTAGGGTGATTGGGGTGGAGTCAAATATAGTCAGTGTTGTTTACAATGTGAGGTCTTCCCGGCCAAGGCCTGCAGGGACAGCTAGGGTTGTGTGTGTCCTTGACCAGGAGCAGGAGCAGGAGGTTTACTGCACACCAGCCTTCCACCCTCTCCTGGGCTAGCAGGCCCTGAGTTTGTCCAACTATTAGATTTTGGAGAAGGTGGACTAGTCCCTGTGGGTGAATCAAATTTGGTTCAAGCCAATCATGGCAGTACATTTATATTGCCTGGTGTTTTGTGTGAGGTGGCCAAATGGCCTAGAAGTCTGATGGGGATTTTAGGAAATACTTTCTCTCTGGTAAAAAGAGAGGGATGAAGGAGAAGAGGCCTGCTATGGTAATTCTTGATACTGGATTGCAATTGTATGAAGACTTGGTGTTTGGTACTGTGGCAGCTATTATGTGACCATGAGGGGACATCTCCATCACCCTGAGGGTGACAGAATGGAGAGAGGAAAAAAATCTCATGTCTTCAATGCATCACTAAGCTTCTGGATCAACCTGGGGCTCCATACTTCTGACTCGTTATAATGTGAGACCCACTTTGTTGGGACACTCTGTTATTGAACCCAAAGACCTTGATTGGCTCCAGAAAAAGAACAAGTATGGGGCAATATCAAATACCCTGATTTTAAGAACAAGTATCTATGGGAGAGAGGAAGAGCTGAGGCAGAATCAGGACTCCTGGAGTTGGCTCGATCACCGCTGACCAGGGCAGCGAGAGGATCGGCACTCCTGTTAATCGGGACGCCTGGAAGCGCTCCCCACTTCCAGAGAGTGAGTGAGGGCAGGAGTGAGACAGCAGAGGCCACTCTGGCAAGGCGCCAGCATGGTGCAGGCAGGCCTTGCGGTTCCTTCTGTGGGAGACTCGGGAGTTAGGTCGGCATGCTGTTACAGCTCTGAGGGCCCCACGGTGGTGGAAGAAAGAGTGGATTTGGAGCCAAAGGGAACTAGGTGCTGCCACTCCCTTGATCAGAGCTTCAGTTTCCTTAAGCTGCAAAATGAGGAAAGTCCCATTGACCCCCAGTGGGTTGTTACAAAGATGAAAATACATCAACTTCTAAAATTGTCCTAGGATCTAGTGGACATTTAATAATAAAAGATAGTTATTGCTATTTAGCAGAGACCTGCAAAGCTAATGGAAATACTTCATGATCCACCACTAATGCATGACTGATAGATGCTGGGTGAGGTCAGGCCATTTGAGACCTTGCTACGGTGACCTAAAGATTGATCCTCATTGGCCCCGTAAAGGAGAAGACCCAGGGGATAGTTTCTGGAGACCACTTCTCTGCCTCTAGAGGCATATCTGAAACAATAAACATTTTGGAAAAGGGAGTGGGGAACATTAATATTTGCCAGGCCATTGTTTTCCCCTGAACAGGGAGGGAGACAAAGACTGAAAGTGTGAAGTGCTGACAGGACCTAGAATGTCAGGATAAGTATGTTCCAAGGTTCCCAAGGGACTCTGGGGGGGCTCAGACTCTTGGCAGAAGGCAGGGGGATTGTGCAATAGAACGTCCCCTGCCCATTCCATCGCTGACAGTTTCAGCTATAGAAGCACCAGGAGTACAAATGTAATAACCAGAGCCAGAGGCTTCCTGCTCACGGATATGAGGGGGGAAGTGGACCAAAATAACTGCATAACACTAATAGCAGACTCTGAGAAGCCACTCCTTCTCTCCTGGAGCCCCTTCCTGCACACCCTTTCTAAGTAATTTCTACCCTTGTGAATATTTGCAGAAAGAAGAATAGAAGTTATTAGCGTTTGTAGTAACAGGATGAGAAAGTGCGAGACTTCCTGTTATGTGTGTGTGACAGCTGGTGATAAGTGGAGCGCCCTGCACAGGAAATCCGCTCGGCTTCTGCAATGTGACCTGCCTGAAATTTGGGCGCTCCTTCAGTCTGGATGTTAATGGCAGGACAGAGGGGTGCCTGGACTATGGGAGACGTGGTAGAGAAGAGTGTGGAAGGGCCTCTGGCACCTCCCACAGAAGAACCCTCCCAGAAAAGGGGAGACCTGGTAGAAATCTTAAATGGGGACAAGGTAAAATTCGACGACACGGGACTGTCCTTAATTCTGCAGAATGGCCTGGAGACCCTCCGTGTGGAAAATGCTCTGACAGATGTCATCTTGTGTGTGGACATTCAGGAATTCTCCTGCCACCGCGTGGTGCTTGCTGCGGCCAGCAACTATTTCAGGTCAGCACACCTAAGACCGGAGTCAAATTGGGTGCAAGTTGTCAGGAATCTCTGTATTGATGGGAGAGCCCAATCTAACCAGTGGACTGTCAAATTTATGGTTTGTATCTTTATTCAAGGTGCGGGAAAGGAAGTGATTCAACCTTAGATTTTAGGATTTAAGCTATATCAAGACAGATGAGTGTTATTTTAAAAGCAATGTTTGTACATTATGAAAATCTTCTATTTGAAATGTCCTTGTTCCAAAGGATGGAAAATCTAAAGTCATGGGGATTTTTCCCCCTTTGGTCTGACTAGTGTGTTGGAAACATGAACATGTTGTCTTTGTTCACCAATAGAGGTTGAAAAAAGGATGTGGCTCCTCTTTTGAAGTTATCAAATGACTTGCTGAAAATTGGGGGTTTCTTTTTGTGCCGAGGGGATGGGAGAAAAGGGAAATATGTTTGAGAAGCTGGAGGCTCCTAGTTACAGCAGACTCAGAGGCCTGGGTTCCGTCCCCCTCTGCCCATTCCTGACCCCGGGGCTTTCTGTACGTCGCTCCATGCTTTGTGTTTCTGTTTTGTCTGCTGTGGGATGGGAATAATGATGACTATCTCTCGGGGTTGTTGTGATAATTAAATGTGAGAGGTGAAAAAGGTCTTGCACACAGCCTAGCATGTAGTAGATGCTCACCGTATCTCTGCTGAAATTCGTCCCCTCATTCTGCTTTGTGCAGCTGAGAACCATTTATTGAGCGTTAACCAAGAGCCATGCCTGGGGTAGGAACGTGCGGGGATCGGGAACCCAGTGAGTACAGCGGGCTCCAGAGTGCTCCAGATTGATGCAGACATGGTGGGAACCAGTCCCCAAGGGAAATGTGGATGGAGAAGGTTTTGGGAAAATTTGAAGAAGAAATACCTTTCTCAACTTTTATCAATGAAATTCTACTTAACTCTTGATTCTGGCTGAGGAAACTAAAAACTATTTAACTTTGTCAATATCATGGAAATATTCTTTATTTTTTTCTTGTCTCTTTCTCTCTTTTTCTGGGCATAGGGGAAAACTTTTCTTTGGAATTCAAAGAGCAGGGCGGGAGGCATTGTGGAACTGGTAGGGTCCCACATGCAGGAAAGGCAAGGGGAGATCTGGGTTTGCAGGAAGTGGTGCTTGCTAAGTGCCAGGCATCGTTAACTGATTTTATTTTTGCAACAGCCTGACGAAGGTGGCTGATATTCCCATTTACGGATGAGGAAATGGAAACCCAATATTACATTTGTAGTCGCTGCTGGAGCAGGGGCTGGGCACATTCCAGAAATGCTTGTTTTTATGGCAGCACAAACTGCCACTACACTTGGGGCTTCAATCCACAGGAAGTGTTATATATAAAAGGGAAAGCATAGGCACAGCCATAAAGGTGGGCTGATGTGATACACATGTTACTTACTCCACCAATATGGACCATATGCTTTCATACTGATCACAAGCCCATTCAGAAGTGAATGAAAGTCAGCTTGGCTCAATGTCCTGAGTACCCACTTTTAGACTTACTCTTTCTGTTTTGAATCCCTGGAAAACTGCTGCCATAAAATGTATGCCTGCTAAGCAATGTCCTTAGTGGCTCTTACAGGCCGTGGAACCGGACTGCTGGCTGTGTGCTCTGGAGCACATCACCAGTTTCTCTGGTCCTCAGGTGTCTTGTCCCAGACAGTGAGGTGTGTGGGCTCCATCCCTCCAGTCCTGCTGCTGTAGAGGACTTAGGGAGGGGGAGTCGCTGCCAGTCCTCGAGGAGGCAGCTGCAGTGAAAAGCTGGGGCACCCACATGGTGCGCGTTTCTGCCTGTGGCTGAACAATCTCTTCCAAAACTGCCTGGTCAGGAAGGGAAATTCCTACTCTTTTGTCCAGTGACTTTTGATTCTTATCTTGGCATTTCCAAGACGATCATCCTCCTCTCGTGAGCACATTAATCCTGGGGACAGGATTCCTTTCTCTGGTAGTGCTGTTAATAATAACCTCTCCTGTTGAGCACTTGCTGTGGGCCAGGCCCTATGTCTGCAGTGTCACATACACTCTAGGAGGCAGGGAATTTTGTCACCATTTAAGGATGAGAAACCTAAGTCCAAGTGTGTCAGTTAACAAAGAGGCCAAGAGGGATCTGAGCCCTTGCCGAGTTGGTTGGCGACCTGATACGCCAAGGCTGCAGATTCTACCCCTGGTCAGGGCACGTGCAAGAATCAACTAATGAGTGCATGAAGCAGTGGGACAACAAATCTATGTTTCTCTCTCTCTCTTTCTCCTCCTCCCTCCCTTCTTCTCGCTATAAATTAATTTAAAAAAATTTTAAAAGAAGCATTTGAACCTAGGACTGACATTAACTCTGACATTGCCTCACCCACCGCCTGTCTTGCTTTGTTTCTAAGATTTTGAAAGGGGCGGAGAGCCAAGTTCCCTTTATGCTCAGACTGCGGCGGGGCAGGGAGTCTGCTCTGTCTGAGAGGCTTCCACACAGAAGCTCTGAGTTTGGAGGGCCTGGAGGCTGCTGGTGCAATCACGTAGGTTTCTTTTCAATCTTTGTTCATTGAGAACATAAACATTTTCCACTAAGTGATTGAACCATACTTTATTTAACCAATTGCCTATTGACAGCCATTTGGATTCTTTTTAATCCTTTGCTTTTACAAAGTGTTGTAATGAATAACCTTATACACATGTCATTTCCTAGGCATGCGAGAGTGCCTGGTGTGCATTTCTAGAACCGGGTTTGCTGAGTCAAAGAGAAATGCACCACAGTTTTAACAGATATTGCCTGATTCTCCTTGATAGGAGTTCGATCATTTTGTCCTTCCCACAGCCTTGCCAAAAGAGGATGGCCTCAGACTCGGATTTTTCCCAATTTGATCCATGAGAAGGAGTATCTCAAATTAGTTTAATTTGCATTTCTCTTATTTTAAATAAGGTCTTCAGTTCTTTTCCTATGAGCTACCTGTTAGTGGTCTTTCAAATTTTCATGTGTATTTTTAAAAATTTAAATATATTTTTTATCAAAGTAATACATGAGAATGGTATCAGAGTCAAATAGTATTTAAAGGCTTATGATGAAAAACAAAAATTTATCTTTACCTCCTCTACCCATTAGCCTTGCTCACCAGAGTCTACCATTTTCAACATTTATGTGTTTCTTCTGTTATATTTGTATTTCCACAAAATATGCTTATATTTCTCTTTCTTGATTTCTCAGTGTTAGACACATGAATTTCTAGTATGTCTGTTAAGGACTTAGCACTCTATATAACTTTCTTATGATATACTTTCTTCTCTATAACTTCTTAATATAATGTTATTACATTTTTGATAAATTTATATTAAGAGTTTACATTATATCTATGAAAACATTATTTCCTGTTGAGCCCAATTGTGTGATATGATTATATTTCCTTTCTTGTAAACCCTTTGCCTTTCCTGAAATTAATAATTCACTTTTTCCACTTGATTTGGGAACATATTTTACTCACAGCCTCTCCATAATAGTTTTCCACATGGTCCAATGCATCGGAAAATCCACCAGTTCCATTCCCCCACCGAATCTTCCTCACTTCTATCACTTCTAACATCCTACACATGTTCTCTGGACCTGCTGCCCAGTTCTTGTCTACCTACATGTGAAAGCAGGGTGGCTGTAAACAGGGGCTATTTTCGTAACTCAGACATTGCAGTTCCCTTTGAGGGCCTATTTAAAAGTTTTAAGTGGGATGAGGAAGTTGGGAAAATATGAAGATTTGAGACTGAGAAAAGGGTAAGGGTGAATAAAGCTTCGAAAGTAGCTCATAACCTACATTTAAATGTTAAACCACACAATGTCAGAGTTCAAATATTTTCATGGCATTGAGGAAAGCATAGATTTACCATTCATATTAATGGTTTTAAAAAAATTTATAAGACTACTAATAAAGCGGTCACTTGTGTCATGCCTTTGGACAGGTCCCCATATCAAAGTCATGGGAAGGGTTTGTTCACCCTGCATACTGAACCCACCTCCCAAAGGACCTTCACTTAGACCAGTGGTTCTCTCCATTTGATGGAGGGGCAACTCACTGAAGAACCTGGCACACTCCATACAGGATGTTGACCTGTGAGAGCAACGGTGTTGTGATTCCCAGGATTGGAGGTGATAAAGGGAGGGCTCATCAGGCTTCTCTCAATCTCACTGATGACTGGCCCCCTCTACACACATGTTAAAGCTCCCAGGCTGAGTCTGAGTCAACAGCGAACTCCTTGTAGTTGCTGGTGCTGAAATCCCTGCCTGGGCATGGCCCCTGCCTTGTTCCTCAGCACCTCAGTCTCTGGGTCTGGTTCCCTGAGACTATAATGAGGACTTTTGACTATTTTTTACAGAAATCAAATATAAGGCCAAGAATGGAAAGGGCAGTGTGGGCACAATCTATTAATCATTATTATATATTAACCAATTACTGGATGGCAGGAATGTGGGAGAGAGGCTACTTTTAAGCTGTGTTTAGATGTTGTAATCCTTTTCTTTTTTTTTCCCATAATGTGTAAGATATCTAAAAAGGAGCCGGCAAGCGTAGGTGATAGAATGAGTGCAAAGGAGAACAAGAATGAATTAAAGGCCATCTGGTCTGGATTAAAACCAAGATAATGGCATAACTATTGAGGATTTCTACTGCTACAGTTGGTAACTCTAGTGAACTATTAATTGTACTTCCAGCATTGGGCTCTGCATTTTGTACTTTTAATATTTTCCTACTGCCTGAACCAATATGGTGGTTAGTACTTAAGTACTATTGATCTATAATCCCTTATCTGCCTTCCAATCCTAAAAAAAAGTTCTTGTTGGGGGTTACTGCCCCAGGATAGAGGTGCAGTCAGATTCTTTAAATTTTCAATAAAATGTCATCTCTGTCATCTCCATTCTTGATGTCTAGGGCATGTGAATCTTCTTTCTATTAAGACCAGAAAATCTATTCTCCTGTTTTGAATATCATTCCATGCAGCTCTCAACTAAA